GTACTCGCATTACGCCTGGACCACCCGTCAATGGGTTTTCTCGCCAGAGAAGAGGGAAAACTGTAGAAAACCTCTCTGAGTACAACCGGTTTATCGACAGTCGAGTTCTAACGGTGTGTACCGGACAATAATCGACGGTGCACATCATTATACCTCGACGTCAAACCTCCCGCTCAGATTATCTCACGTGCCAGAAAAATACCAAGCCAAATGGGCGCGAACCAAGGGTACTTATACCCTTGGTCCTTAAACGACCGCCAAGCGAGGCATCTATCCGACTGAGCTAATCCGTCGGTAATTTTATAATTTTTGTACAAAAGCCTAAAATTTTTGGACAATTTCTGCGAAATTTTGAGTTCAGCTTTTACTACAAGGAGTAAATTTTATAACGCAGAAAGTAAATTTTAGCTAAAAATTAGTAATTTTACCTTGAACGTAGTAAATTATATCAAACAAACTTATTAAAATTTACTTTGAACGTAGTGAATTTAAGAAAAAATTAGTAAAATTTACTTGTTAGTAGAGCTGTGCAAAATAATTCGAACCGAACTGTTCGAATTTTTTCACCTAGTTCGAATGTCGAAAAACCGACATTCGACATTTCGGCGCCCCAAAACCGAACAAAACTCGGTTCGGTTCGAATTTTGCACAGCTCTACTTGTTAGGCATATAATGATGTAAAAGCATATGATGATAGTAAAAATATTAGTAAAGTCTGCTTTGAACGTAATAAATGTTAACAAAAAGAAAATTATGAAAAAATTTACATTTGACGTAGTAAATTTTAGCAAAAAATTAGTAAAATTTACTCATTAGACCTAGTAAAGTTTAGCAAAAAAATTAGTAAAATCAACTTTGAACGTAGTAAATGTTATCAAAAAAATAAAAATATACATTAGACGTAGTAAATTTTACTCCGTAAATAGTAAACGTTGACATTAATTTTAGTCAATTTAGGTTTTAATACACTACCTGGACATTTTTAAAAAATTTGAAACTTACATGGAGTGATCATTCAAATCTCATCTTTAATTTAAGACCAAAAGAGTTAAAAAATCTTATTCGGTTCGTGAGATATCATTATAAACGTCCGATCATTTAATTCATTAAATAAATTTTTTTCGTTGATCAACGTTGTGGACTTCAACTTTGTTCATTTTCAGCCCAAAACCGTTCAAAATCGACTAATTCAATGCATTTGTCAAAAAACAGGCTCGGACGTTTATAATGATACTAGACTAAAATTGCGCGCGCTGAAGTGCGTGCCAACGGTATTTAGCATTTGGTAATGAAAATTTAATTTTTAAAACATAATTTAAAATAATTAAAGGAAATGAATTTATCATTCGACAATTAAATATTAAAGGTAAAAGAAGTTAACAACTTTCCGAATCAATTTCACAAATAAATTGATAAGCTCTTGATAAGCTCATGCACGGAAAAAAAAAGTTCGAAGATTATTCGGGAACTTCGTTCTTAACTCTTGGATACGGCGGGTAGTTCACAGAGAACTAAAGGTTGCCTCGTTTAAATATGTCATTTACTATTTCTCTACAAATTATAACTATTTCACCACTTCTCGGCAAACTGTTCTTGAAAAAGTCGGGAACTGTTCAAGAAAATCGAAAAGTTAGGCGAATGCAAGAAAAAATGGATTCTGCTTCCCCCCTCCCACTTCCCCTCCTTGACACGTCCGCACACACACACATTTATCCTTGAGGGTCACATACAATTTTTATTTTTTATTAAGTTTCTGAAATAGAAAAAACCATAGTAGAGAAAAATCGACGGCGGCTGGAACAGAACTCGCGTACCCGAGGAATAGAAGTCCGGCGTCTTATCCAGCTGAGCTAAACAGGAACGTTAAATACCTCAGCATAAAATAAATATATAAGGCACGCAAGTCTTACTGACTGTGAGACTTGTTGAGACTGGTGCGCACTGGGTTTCTGCGCACCAAGATTCCTTGACGAGTTCCCGAAAATTTCAGAAACAGTTGCGGCCAGTGCCATGAACTTTACATGAGAAAGTAATGAAAAAAAGTCTATTGGACTATTTACAGCTTTTTCTAATACAGTTCCCGAATTTCTTTCAAACATTCATTGATTACCATTGAATGTTCGTCGCTAGTTCAGAGCTGTTACCACGTATCCAAGAGTTAGGAAATAATTCCTGAAATATCTGGGAACTTTTTTTTTCCGTGTGGGTTTCATGTGTATCGACAGCACAGGTGCCCTAATAGAGAAACCTGCTTAATCTGAAGAATATTTTCGAAATTAATTAATAATTTCAAAATTATCAAAGAACTCAGAAAAAGCGGTAGCATAGTGGGATACGAGCCCATATGAGCTTATCAAGAGATTTATTTAAGATATTTATTTATTTGTGAAATTGATTCGGAAAATTGTTAACTTCTTTTACCTTTAATAATTAAAAATAATTTATAAAAAATAGAAATATTTATATAAAATAAATGATCAATTTTGTTTAGTGTAAAAAACATTCATTAATTATTTTTACACATGAAGTAATACGAACAAAATCATTAAAATAAATTAGGCCTAATTTTAATCAAATAAATTTTTTAAAAATGAAGAAAAAATAAAATAAATTTTTTGTATATAATAAGTAAAATATTATACAAACATTAAGGAAAAAATTATTATAAAATAAATAAATGTATTTATAAATCTGAATCAATGAAATTCAACTTAAGGGAAATATGACTGAAATTTCAATCAATTTTAACTGATCTTCAGGAGAATTTCACTGATTCATGTCGACTCGAAACTAAAGTTAACAAACTGAATGTAGTTTCGAGTCGACAGGAAACTAAAATCAGTTTGTTAATTTAGTTTTGAGTCGACACGAAATTAAACTCAGTTTGTTAATTTAGTTTTGTGTCAACTCAGAAACTAAAACGAAACTAAACTTTCGAAACGGTTCCTATTATTTATTAAAATATAAATTTTATTTAGTTATAAAATATATATTCATTTTATAATTAATATAGGGAAAGTCCGGGGGAGATGGCCATAGTTTTTTTATAGTACTGTAAAAATTATAAAAAGGCGATTTAGGGGAGCGTGGGGGAATTGGAGCCCCTTAAGGAAAATTATTTTAAAAAAAACAACTTATCTTTATAATAATACATTGTTTTTGTCATTTTCTACTCATTTCGTTATTTATCTTTAATTAAAAACTTAAAAAGAGAAAATAAATTGGAAAAAAAAAATTTTCAAAAAAAATACATTTTTTGCTATCACCCAATTTGTGGGGTATTGGGAGCTTTCACTTGAAATTTAAAATTTTTTTATTTTTTAGGAATATTTTTTGTTTTCTAATAGAAAAAAGTGTTAATACTTACAATGAAGCCAAAACTTTAGATTTAGAATAAATTTTTTCATAAATTATAATTTAATACAAAATTTTTGAAAAAAAATTAAATTTTTTATTTTTTCCATCAAAAATTATTTTTTAATTAAAAGTTTGTTCATAAGGTGATATCTTTTACAATTTTCAAAGAAATAAGGAAAGCCGTAACATAGTAAAGAAAATTCTTTGGGCTGACACACCGAAAAAAATGCCTAGGACCCGTATACCAGGAATTGACTAGGTTTCCTATAGTTACGAGAGGAGCCAACTATAGAATCCTAGTCAAAGTAATAATATTCAAGCATAGTTAAAGTGACCAGGAAAATTAGTAGATGCAATCAGGAAAAAATAGTCAAATTGACTAGGATAATAATATTAGATTTACACTGTGTATCATAATTATTTGAAATTCTTAATCAAATTTTTATTATCCAATAAAAGAGAAAAACTAATTAAAAGAAAAAAATTAATTATTGTATTTGAACATATTTATATTTTACTTTGCATTTATATACCTTGGAATTAATTTAAACTTATGAAATAAATATTTGACGCAGGGGGGACGCGAACACCTGAACCTAACGAATACGCACTTTGAAACCCGGAACGATAACCACTACACTAAACACGACTTGGTATTTTAATTTTTTAATAGACACTAGATTTTCGAGTCAAAATACAATACTTAATCAGATGATGTTTTATACATTTCGAGTACACAATTTTATACACTTGTCAAAAACTATTTATTTTTAATTATTTATGACATTCAAATGAAAATAAATTTAAATACCTTAAATAAAACTTTACTGTGCAACTAACCTTAAAATCTGTGCGGTAGGGATCGTTGGTGGCGCGAGCATTTTTCTTAAAGCTATTGTATTTCTGTAAATATAAAACTAATCTTTCTGCAATTTTACAGAAAACTTCTTCACATCGTAATAAACAAATGTCTCACTGGAAGTTGTTTGAATTTTAAAGTTCCCCGCATACTTTTTGCAGCCAAAGATAAGAAAAAATTATTTTTGACCGGTCAGTATTAACAATTAAAAATCAATAAACAATTAATTGCTTTTAACATTTTCGTGATATTGTCGTCTTCTATAGGTCCAAATGCATTTGTATACCAAAAATCAAAAGAATTCATTCATTTTTGTCGGAGATACGACGATTTATATTTTAAAATTCAATGAAATTTGACAATGAAAACTAATCACATTTTTTCCATTATCATATAAAAATATTAATTATTCAAAGAAATTTCAAAGGAAAAAAAGATGCGCATTTTTATTTCCTATGAGATGGCAGTTTTTAAAATTCAAAATTTTGAATTTTCATTTTTTACACTTTACGGTACCTTTGACTGACTTTAAAGCGGCTCGCCGAGCGTACGTTCCCTTGTTGTATCCAAGCACTCAATTAAGTGACACTTGCAACTCTGAAAACCTCAAATAAAAATTTTGGACATTCGCGTCGACGCTAACTTCAGAAATATAAAATACTATACGAAAAACCACAGCATTAAATTCCATGTTTAACTTTTCCAAGAATTTCTTTGGTTTTATCATCATCGAGCAATGCAGAAAAACAATTAAAAAACTGGTTTTTTTATTGTCTAATTTTAGATGCGGATTTGAGTATGGGAACAGGAGGGGCCGGTGGATCAGTCTTGGGAATCCCAGGATCCGGAATCGCGGGTGTTTTATCACAACATTGTGCAATTTGCGGTGATAGGGCCACCGGAAAACATTATGGCGCCGCATCATGTGATGGATGTAAAGGCTTTTTCCGGCGTTCAGTGAGAAAAAATCATCTCTATACTTGCAGGTACGAAATATAAACTCTATACACACGGAGAAAAATGGAAAAATGATTTATGCAAACAGTGAAGTACTCATTTATAAAATAATATGTCACAAGTACACACTATAGTATTAGAAGTTTCATAGCTGAACACTTTGGGACTCAACACAAGTTATCCCATTCATCAGCTTAAACAAAACTGGATAAATAGTCTAAGAGGGAATAAGAGTATAAAAAATTTTAGAGTAAACTATATTTTTAGGGTTTGGGAAATAGTCAAAGTTTTGTCTAAAAATCAGGGAATTCTTTCAATCTTTCATGGAATAATTTATTTTCAGAGTTATTCTTTATGACCGGGAAAAATAATTTATGGCCGGCAATGGACCAGGAAATGACCATGAATTTTTTTTATGAAAAAAGTGTCCCCCCTGAAGATGCTGGTATCTTACTTTAATTTATCAAGAAATTCAATTTATTAAGAGTTTAATTATCGGGAGTCAACTGCATTATGCATTATAACTAATTACTATTCACTTCTATAAATGTAGATCACGACTGAATAATTTAATTGAGGGAGACAAGAAACATAGAGAAACCTTGCAGTAATACACACATTTAAACTTTACAAAAAAAGAAATCACCTCTATTCGAAAAGACAAAAAAAATAAAGAAATGTGAAAAAATATAGTAGACTATAAAAAAAGACATAAACTATTTCCATCGATTGACAAATAAATTCTTTAACAATAAAAAAACATGATAAAACCTGTTCGAAACAGGATTAACATATAGGGGGAAAAATCTATTTCCTGTCATCGAAATATTTCATAACAGATGAATGTATAAAGAGCTGTTGCATTTTTATTTGTTGTTTATTAATTCAGAGTTGCCACAAATATTTAATTTTAAATAATTGAATTCCTGTGAAATTTTTATTATTTATGAAAATAATTAAATGTTTGCGTAGAACTCTTACAAATTTTTTTTAAATAATTAATTATAAAATTCTTTTGTGAAACTTTATTAAAATAAATATTGAAAATCATTGAATTGAGAAAAAATTTTGAAAATAATTGAATTTTAACGAAGAATTTTGTCATTTATAAAAAATAATCAAAATATTGAAGATAATTTTTTTAAAAAATTTGAAAAGAATTCAATGAAATTGAAATCAAAATTTTGAAAAAATTCAGTTCTCCAGAATTATTAATAATTGAAAGAAAAAAAAATTGCTACTATTTGTAACTTTTCCAAAATTTAATTTTTTTTAGTGTTTTTAACAAAAATTCTTCTATAAATTCATTATATTTTGTAATTAATTAAATATATGTAGGTATATTGAAAAATGTAACTATATAAGATAATAAAAATAATAAATAATTAAATAAAAATTGTTATCAAACAAATTGCGAGACGAAATATTTCTTTTGGTTTAACTCTATTTAATTACGTTTTATAATTATTTATTTACTTTAAAAAGAAAGTTTGAGCACTATTGATGTCCCGATTGTCATTTTTTGGCCGGAATTTTTAAAAATCGTATAAAGTTTTCACCAAAAAAAATTGCTATTTACAAACTAATTGTGAGCAAAAATTTTTATGATTGTTTTTTTAGTTTCTATGATCACTTTTTAGTATAAACCTGATTTTGACTCAATTTGTGTCCCGGAACTTTATTATTTGACTCAAATTTTCAAATATCCTCAAATTAAAAAAAAATTGCTTTAACTATGAGACCAATGGATGTTTTTTTTCTCTGCGATCACTTTAAAGTGGAAATCATTTTTTATTTAATTTCTGTCCCGGAAGTTTGTCATTATTTGTCCCGAATTTACATATTAAAACCTAAACTGCTTAAAATTAATGTGAACGTTTACTATTTACGAAGTAAAATTATACGTCCAATGTAAACTTTTCTTTTCTTTTGGTAACATTTACTATGTTATGTTCAAAGCAGACTTTATTAATTTTTTTGCTAAACTATTTTTTCACAATTAGACATTAAATAACAAAAATATAATTAATAATTAATAAATAATAATAATTGACAATGTCGAAACGCACATCAATTAAATTTTATATAGAAAGTAACAATTCATCATTTTTTTCAGTCGTTTATTCAAACGTCATTCTTGTAAATAGTAATTAATTAAACGACAAAACATCTGTGATTTCCCCGCGAGGTCGTGGTTTTATTTTTAAGCACTACCATTGTCTGAGAATCTGCGAATATAGATATATAATAATTCCGGTTTTTTTTCTCTGTAGTTTAAATTGAAAAAAAAATAAAATAATTTCCTTCACAGATTCAGCAGGAACTGTGTGGTAGACAAGGACAAACGAAATCAGTGCCGTTATTGCAGATTAAGGAAGTGTTTTAAAGCTGGAATGAAGAAAGAAGGTAAAATAATTTCTTTCTTTTTGTTTTTCTTCCCTTTGTACGTAAGTAAATACATACACTGAGAAAACTGGAGTATTGGACTAAACATCTGGAGGGACAAATCGTTGATATTTGAGAGTTAGCTATTGGATAACAATCTAAATGTTAAAATACACCATTGACAGATATTCGTGCCATTTCTTCAACAGAGGGACAAATTAACCATCTTGAGAAATCCCTTCCTTATCCGGCGCGAAATGAATAAATATGGCAACCTAACCCCTAAATTAAATACATAAAATGTCAGAAAAATAATTTCGCGCGCATCAGATCGTACACATTTTCTGCGCAACTTTTAACCCTCAGATATAATGGGAGAGAATATACAAGTAGATTTCCATTATCAATTCAAAATTTATTTTAGAAGGACTATTTAACTCTCTTCACAAGCAAAGGAAACATACACTTTTTGAACCTCTGAATTTGACTCTCCAGTTTTCTCAGTGTACAGAAAATTATTTCTTTTTACATGATACAAAGAATTTTTGAGAATGAAAAATTGTCCACTTTTTTTTAAGGGGAATTTTGTCAAGGTTGACAAAAGAAAAAATTTATATGATTTGAAACTTTAAGGGTGCCTGTCTATATATTTCATAAACAAAAAATTATTCGTTTATAAAAGTTCATTTATCTTTTAAATATAGAATAATTTAATTTAATTAATTTATCTTTGGAAAATGAATAATTTTAAATCATAAGACAACAATGTTTTTAGATTTTGATTTTAAAAATTACTTAAAATTTACAAAAATTGGAAATTATGACATTTTTTGAGAAAAAATAAATCAATATAATCAAATATAAGACGTTTAATTAAATTTTTCAATATTTAATTAAATGATTTTATTTTTATTCAAATTTTTCAATGATTGACTAAAATAATTTAATTCTTTATCAAACATTTTCATTTTTATTTGTATATAATTTCAATTAAGGGCATTTGAACCATTATGACGTTACACATGCTTTGCACAAACTGTGACGTCATAATGGTTCAAATGCCTTTAAATAAATTTTTTTATATTCCTATTTAATTAAACTGAATATTCATTTTTTTCAGATTTAATATAAAAAAGAAAAAAATTTATTTGTTACAATGGAAGAAAGACGACAGATTTTGGAAAAATGTACAATTTTTAATTTTTTGTGTAGAAATTTTTTTTATAAATAAGAAAAATGTAGAATTTATAATAAAAGAATAATTTTTTTAGAATTAAAATTTGAAAATAATAACTAAAAATTTACAGAAATTGAATATATCTCATTAATTTTTTGTAAAATAATTAATTGATAATTTATTATAGCAATTTTTATGGAATTTTTCACTTTTAAATCAACTTATTTAATTTTTTATCAAATTATACAATTTTTAATTAAATTGTTCTATTTTTAATCAAATTATTCCATTTTTCAAAAAAATATTTAATCCTTATTGGAACTATTCAATTTTCAATAGATTTATTAAATTACAAAATAATCATTTCTTTAGAATTTGAATTTCAAAATTTGGTAAAAATTTACAGGAAATGAAAATAACTGACTATTTTTTATAAAATAATTATTAATGGTAAGATCTAATATTGAATTCTTATCAATTGTTTGGTCACCGTATAACCAGGTGTATTTGATCAAGCTCGAGAGAGTTCAAAATAGATTTTTAAGATTCGCAGCAAGGCAGATGGGTGTTAGATATGATCCTTATTCACATGACTATGATAACCTTCGATCTTGCTTCAAAATTCCTTTAATATCATCCAGATTTCTATATAATGACTTGCTTTTCTTATTTAAAATTATACATAATATAATCAATTGCTCCCAGATCTTAGCATCAGTCAACTTTTCTGCTCCTATAAGACCATCACGGCATGTTCGGCCGTTCGCGATACCATATTCGAGAACATGTTATCGAGATAACTCAACTACGATAAGAATATGTAAATTAGCTAACTACCATGCGGATCAGCTAGATTTCTTTAATAATTCTTTGTCTAGTTTCGTTAGCGATCTACGTAAATTGTTCTTTAATTATAATAATAACGCAGCCTAATGTTTACATTTTTATAACTGTTAATTATTTTTAGTACTTTATGTACGAATGGGACTCATTGCCCGTAAATGAATAAGTAAATAAATAAATATAATTTAAAATAACAGGTTTAATTAAATTTATCAATTTCTAAACTAATTATTCAATTTTTAGTAAAATTGTTCAATTTTAAATGAAATCATTTAATTTTTTAATTAAATAATTTGATTTTTATTGAAATTTATTGAATTTATATTAAATCGATTACTTTAAACTGAAATTAAAATTGTATTAAATATTCGTTTGTTGAAAAACATCGTCATTGACTTAAAAAAATATTTTATCAATTTCGATTCATTGTTTAATTTGTGGCGAAATAATTTTTTTCTTTTCATAAAAAATATTGAAAATTTTCGAATAAATAAAAATGTAAATAAAAATCATTGTAGCCAAACAGATTAAAAAATACGAAAAATATTACTAACTTTTTACGTCGTGAAGATGCGCCAATTAATCGCCGTTGATTTTCCCATTTCTTCTACTTTTGTTCCACTGCTCTATGTAGGAAGAAAAAATATTTAATTAATGAAATTATTCAAAGAGAAAAAACATTAAATTCAAAAAAATTTTTTTTAATTAAATTTTGACAAATTCAATTTTTTATGAATTCAGAAATCAATAAATAGTATTCCTAACCTCAAATATTACTATTCACACTTTTTATAAATTATTTTCGAAAAATATTTTTGTCTTCTAGTTTCAATTTACAGGGAAAATTAAAAAATTCACGTTTTAAATTTCCAAAAGACAGTCATCCTAACCTCAAATATTCTTACCTGTCATTTATCACTTTTTTCGATTTATTTTCTCCTTTTTTGTTAATATTTCACACAAATTTACTATCTATTTAATAACTGTAAAATATATTTCAGCCGTAAATCACTATTCTCTGGACAAAATAAATGCAAAAATGAAACAAATTGACGGCACTGACGCCAAGAAACTATGACAATTTTTTCCACCAAAAAAATCCTTGTCCAACGATATTAAAAGCAAAAATCGATAAATATTACTAATTTGAGTTATTCATCCAATAAGTTTACACAAATCTTTAATAAATTACTTAGAAAATTTCATTAGGTTGGTTGGATTCGTTGGATTTCAATTAACCAAAAAATTCACGACCATTTTGTTAAGAGCGTCGCACTGTGCTGTGTGTGTGAGATTGCTGGACAAGGAACAAGGACTGAAGGTTGGTTTCTCACTTCTGATTGGTCGGCGCATATTGTCCAGCCAATCAGAAACATTGTAGCAACCTGATATCATACTTCCTTGTCATGTTCACTTTCACGCCTTTCACGTTCAATTAAATACCATTTAATTAAACTTTTACAGCAAAATAATGAATACTAGAGTTTTAATTAATATGCATTGATAATATCAATTCGCCCAAATAAGAAAACGTGAAAAAATCCCAAAAGTAGTAAAAGATTGGAATGTTTCAAAAGAGAACACAAAAGTTGACAATTTTCAGGGTTGGGAAGGTACATATTAGGAAAATTTGCATTGGAGTAAGAGAGTCAGATACACAGTCTGTCTCTCTTACTCCAATGAAAAATTTTCTGTTCTGAAAATTTCTACCGAAGGTGTAAATGCTCCCCAGGAAGGAAGAGTAAGGAGACCGAACTCTGTGTAGAAAGCGCTTTAAAAATCTCAGAGAAATATGCACGAAAAGTGCCAGGCTCACTGCGTTCTAGTCGACCTCCAATTAAGTTGATCATGCGCATAAGCTGTGTTGTGTCTCTGTTTCTCGTAAAAATTGTGCGAGTGAGATGTAAGATCTAATGTTTACATTTAGCCGGTCTTAGTGAGATACATACATAATTATACAATACATTTCGTTTTAATAATTATTTATTTATTTTATTTAAAAAATGTCGTGTTGTCTGCCAGGATGTAAAGAAAGAAAAAGAGTGTAAAAACATTAGTCTCTTCTATCCTTCTACGGTATGTAAATATACTCTAGTTATAAACACAATTCTTCTTAACCATTTTCGCAAAATTTTTCCCTTTTCATGAATATATTATTAAATTATTTTGAAAATCTAAATAATATCACAATTGCAAATAAATAAATTTGCTTTTAAAATTAACACTTTTTAAACTATATAATATTTACCTTGACATAACCACACTTTTCATCTATGTCAACACTGAACTTTAGTTCAGTGCGCATGATCGACTTAATTGGTGATCAACTAGAACACAGTGAGTCTGGCACTTTTCGTGCATATTTCTCAGACATTTGTAGAAGCCACCCCGGTGGCATTGATGAGTTGAGAGTGTACCAACTGTTGAAAGTTGACACCGATGGCGCCAGCTATGCACAGGCCCTGTTTCAATTAAAATACATGGGATAATGCATAAAAATTGTATTTTCTTTAACTGAAATTAATTCAATCATATTTTTTTTACATGAAATGAATCTAGAAACTTTTAAACATATTTTGTAACAATTGTTACTTTATTAAAGCGTGGAATAATTTATTTAGAACGAAATTTCTACCTAAATTTTTGGCGGGATTTTCAAAAATATGTAAGTTTTTATAATTATTTATAATTATTTTTTAATTTACTACTATTAATATTTTAAAACTATATTGAGTAGATGAGAAATAAAAAAATTTATAATAAATAATAATAATAATTAATATTTTTTGAAATTCCCGCCTAAAACTGAGATGAAAATTTCGTTATAAATTAAATATTCTACTCTTTTATAAGGCTATAACTATCAAAAAATATGTTAAAAAGTTTCTATATTAATATTGTGTACAAAGAAATACGATTTAATTAATTTTAATTAGTGAAAATTTAATTTTTTTGCAATATCCCATGCATTTTAACTGAAACAGGGCCCGTGCATAGCTGG